GGGAGGGAGGACCTGAGAGAGGATGCAGACTGGCATGAACACTGCCCCGTGTTTTGCAGCCCCAGTGGCTCACCACCACCCCAAAAGCGATGTGCCCCACTAAGCCTGGTGGGATCCCTCTCCACAAAAGCTCTGGCAATGACACTGATGAAATCTAGGATCAGACAATGTTGGGCCAACCATTGACTCTCTCCAAACCCCTCATCCTCCAGGCAGACTCCTTCAGTAGATCCTGTAAGGCTGACCAAAACTCACATCTCAAAGCCCAGCTCAAGAACCTGCTGGGGCTCCCTGCTGCCTGGCCAGAAGGCCAGATTTTTAAATACCCTGGATGCAGGCCAAAGCGTTCTGAACTTCCATCTGGGGGAGATGGGCAGATCCAGGAGACCCAGAGACAGGGCTTCTCTTTCTTGTGAGTGGCACTAAGAGTCTCTGTCTCCACGGCGGGAATCATCCCGCCACTCCTTCCCTCATGAAGACAAAATGTTTAGAGCACTTTGAAGGAGACTGGAACAGACTCAATAAAAGCTGCAAATGTGCTGTCTCCTGAGCCCTGAACACTGACCCCTTCCTCACCCCAGAGCCACCCACCCCCTAGCTATTTTTATTCAGATCCTAGCTTTATGGGAGAACTTCTGGCCACCCATGGAAACCTCTCCATCCCCCCAACACGCAATCACGACAACTTCACTTTGCCACACCGTCTTTGTAAATACAGAGGTATATGAAATTATCTTGATGCTTTGCTTGTGGAAGTTTGGTCACTTTCACTGGAATGTAAGTCGCTTGAAAGCTAGCTGCTCCCGGATCTGTTACTCCAGGATACTTCCCCAGCCCCCAGCAGGGAGATCAAACTGTCTCAATGGCTGCCTACTTGTTGCGCTTGCCCCCACAGAGTCTGTGCATGTTAAGTTCTCACTGAAAACCAGTTATTACTGGTGGCTTCTCCTCCAGCTCCAGGCACAAACCTGAGCTGCCTGAGGCACCGCCGGTCCCCTACACACCAGGGCCAACTCCCATTTCAGCTGAGTGACTGGATGGTACCCCCAACCCCCAATCCCTGGTATCTGACCCAGCTTATAGGTCCAGAAGACCCAGTCAGTGCTGAAGCAGACCCTGCAGCCAATCCTGGCCCAATCAGGCAGGAAGGATCGTTTGCGCTCTTTATGCGCAGCTGCCGGCCCAGTTCCTGCTCATCCCAGAACCAAGTAGCTAGCCAGACAGGGAAGAAGGGCAAGGCCCATTTGGAGGGTGTCCTGGAAACTATAGGGAGACTGGGGAGAATTACTGTGACAACCTATCATTAAACCCAGAAGAACTGGCTGACACCACTTGACCCAGCAGTTTATGGCTCCTGCCTCAGGTGCAGAGGATCCCAAATGAAAGTCCTGAGGACACCTGGTAACAGACCTGCAATCAGCCCAGAAAGGAACAAAAGCTGCTGCCATCCAACTGGGGACCAAGTGGGGCAAAAACAGTCCAGGCAAGCAAACTCCAGCCGCGGTGGTGCCAGGCCTCCTCAACTTCCCACGGCCAGCCCACAGCTCCATGACCCCTGATCTCCTGGCTCCCAGGACGGGAATAGGGAAGAAGGGGTGACCAGGACTCCGAAAAAGACACCTTCACTGTTCCAGTCTCCAGGGACACCATGGAAACTCAGTCTGTCCCACAGGGGATTGACCCATCCCTCAGGGTGTGCAGGAGGAAAGGCCTGGGCAGAGGAGAATGCCCTCCAGGGGATCCAGAACAAGGAGCTTCTCTAGTCACCCTCCTGGAAGGCCACTTGTGTGACTATGGGTTTGGGCTGAGGGTCAGACAATCCCAGTTCAGCCACTGTCTGCTCATATGACCAGAGACAAGCCACACCACCCCGAGCCTCAGCTTCCTCGTCTGGACCACAGAGAAGGCCTAAGCTGACCCGGTGGTGGTGAGCCATCAATGAGCTCATCCGACCAGCAAGCTCGGCACAGGGCCTGGCCCAGGACCAGCGTCCCAGAGGTCGAGCCCTGGGCCAGGGTGTGAGTGCCGGATTTGATCCCCTTCACCTTTTCCCTGTGGCCTGCTTTCACCCATCACCATCAAGAGAGTCTTACATGCTCACTCCCTCTAATTCTTCACCCCCAGGGAGTCTGCACCCAGAACTCAGCCGCAAGGAGCTGGTGCCTGGGAGACCATGGTACTAATATATATGATGGTGGCCGAGTTCCCATCCACTAGGCTTGAACGGCCAGCCTCTGGCCACAAAAACTAGAGAAAGAATGCAGGATCCTAAAATATTCAGGTAATGTCTGCTGGGCCGCCTCCCTGTAGATATATAATGTGGGGGTGGGCGCGGGCCACCTTGTGATAAACAAGATGCCTAAGCTAGGTGTTCCAGACTGTCTCCAGCGGCCCACACAAACACCCACTGGCCAGCGCCTTTAAACAGTTGGCAGAGGCTTGCCCTAGGGTAGGGTCGGGACTCTAGAGGCTTCAGGGATGAGGTGTGGAAAAGAGGGAACCCCTTAGATGTGACCCTGAACTAACACTGGAGTTAGGGGCAGTGGGGGACGCATCTCGATGTATACCTTCTGGTCACACTAGTTCTTCCTGACCTGCCCCCACATCCCCTCTAGCCTAGCCCAAAGGCTCCGCTCTCCGCACTCCCAAAGCTCAGACAGCAGTCCCTCACCTTACCTGATCGCCCCCTGATCTAGCCTCCCCGTCCCCACTACTCTTCCAGTCCCGACCTCAAGTGACCCCCGGCAAACATCTCTGGGATCTCCTATCCGCCCCCACCCGAACTAACTCCGCCCACACTCACCGTGCCCCACTTCCTGGGCTTCTCCTCAGCCACCCCCAGGCCTGTAACTTGACCCACCCACCTCCTCCAGCGCCCAGGCGGTACCTGCAGGCCCGGCCCCTCCCCGCCCCCCTCCGGCCGCGCCGCTCTCCTCTCCTCCCCCACTCGGCCGGCCCAGAGCCCGACTCCTCCTCCCCCTCCCCCTCCGGCATCCCCGGGAGCTTCCCCACTTTTCCGCCTCGGACCCTCCAACTTCCCCGGACCCCCGGTACCTGTCCCGGTCCGACCTGGCCCTCTCCCTCGCTGGGAGCTGGGGGAGCGGTCCGGGTACGATCCTGCCGCCCCCAAGCCCCGAGGCCCGGGCTGGACGCTCAGGCCGCCCGCGGTAGCCGGGCCTCCACACACTCGCCCGCCCCCGGCACAGTGCAGGCTGCGGGCCCGGATACTCTTCGATCAGAGAAAGCACCCAGGCCCTCCCCCCTCAGCCCTCCTGCCGCCCCGGCGGGAGGAGGCTGGAACCAGGCCTGGGGCGGGCCGCCTCACCTGCGCCGTGGCCGCGCTCCGGGGGCTCCCGGCGGGATCCGCAGCGGCGGCTGGGGCCGGGCCTGGGCCCGGGGCGCGCCCCCCTGCGCCGGGGCCTCGGCCTCCGCCTCCGCGGCCTCCGCGGCCTCCGCCTCAGCAGCAGCGGCAGCCGCGGCGGCCATTCATTGTGGGCCAGGCCGCCCCAGCCGAGCGCCGAGCGAGCACAAGCCGCGCCGCCGCCGCAGCCGGGCCAAGGAGGAGCGGCCCCGGCCCCGCCCGCGCACCGCCCTCAGGCCCCGCCCCCTAGGCAAGGCCAGCCGAACTCCGAGCGCGCCCCTTCTAACTGGCCTGGTTTCCTCTCTATGCCCCTGGGGTATCCTCGCCAGTACCTCGGCTCAGCTCAGTGATTCGATTCCCGACCCCGCCACCTTCTGGTTTCGCGACCTTGGGCAAGTCGCTCTACTTTTCCGAACTTTAGTTTCCTGTAAAACAAAAACAATAATGACAGCTGTTTATTGTGGCAGCCACTGTGTTAGGCTCGTTATGGGAATTAGCTCGTTTAAACTTCACAGTAACATTTTTAGTGGGAACTGTTACAGACACACTATAGAAAATAAAGGCCGCCGGGCGCTGTGTCTCACGCCTGTAATCCCAGCACTTTGGGAGAGCGAGGTGGGTGGATCGCCTGAGGTCAGTAGTTCGAAACCAGCCTGGCCAACATGGTGAAACCCCGTCTCTACTAAAAATACAAAAATTAGCTGGGCGTGGTGGCGGACGCCTATAATCTCAGCTACTCAGGAGCGTGAAGCAGGAGAATCGCTCGCACCCGGGAGACGGACGTTGCAGTGAGCCGAGATTGTGCCACTGCACTCCAGCCTGGGCAAGACTCCGTCTCAAAAAAAAAAAAAAAAAAAAAAAAAGACAACAGAGAAATGAAGAAAGCTGGTCAAGATTATCTCACAGTAAAGAAGTGATGGCGGGTACCAGGATTTAAACCCAAGCCCAAAAGCGACAATAAGAGCTAAGACTTTTATAATGCATACCTGATGCTAGGTTCTGTTAGCATTTTACCTGCACTAACTCGTTTACTTCTCACTACAACCCAGTAACAAACGTTAAAAACTTCTGCCCATTTTGCAAAAGCGGTAACTTAAGTTCAGAATTAAGAACAAGTCGCAGGGCGAGCTGAGACTGGAACCCAGGCAGTGGGAACATTTCGCTGTCTTACCTTTATGCACTGGTTAGAACGTTACCGAGCCCTTACAACGTTAGAGTAGCTCTTTGCATACTTTCCAGGTATCATTTAATCTTTGTTCTTAGAAACTACGAATCTTATGTAATAGGTAAGAAAAGTGGGGCCCCGAGAGTAACCTGCCTAGAGCATGTGGTGGAACTGAGATTCAAACCCAGTAAGTCCAACTCCAGAGCCTGGGTTATCCCTGCAGGGTGCTCTGAAATAACGTGTATATAGCGCCCAGAAAACTGACTAGGACCACTAGGTGTTGGGTTTCTCCGCTTACCGCCCCTTTTCTGAGCCACAACTTCCTCATCTGTGAAATGGGACTAGTGACGTGTCCTTTCCCAGGGGATCCGCTGTGATTAAAACCCCCGGAACAGCACGATCAGCGCGCTTCCTTTATGTCTTACATTTTGATCCCGGCCATCCACCGTATGTGGCATAATTGATTGGCTAACCACTATCATGTGATTCGCCCACCCACTGTGCCAACATGGCGGCGCCCAGGTCCTAATTCGGGAAACGTGCACCTTGACTAATTCGATTTTCTGTGGCTACAAGAGAAGGTGAAGAGGGGCTGGGTAGCACGGGGAGGCATCCGAACTCGGGGCGGGCCTGCACAAGGGCATCGGCTCCGCAGGGACCAGTCATCCCCAAAACAAGGGTGTATCGGCTTACCGAGGCCGCATGGTCTTCCTCGTTCCTACCTTTTTTGTACATGTAGGACACCCCTGGGCCAAGAATGCAGCTCTCTGACCCTCTCTATGCCCTTCCCCGTCCCCCGAACCAGGCTTAGCGGGCAGAGGCGCCAGCGGAAGTCTCATGCGAGGATCGTTCTGTGGCTAAGCCTCACACTGCGCTCCGCCCGCAGTGTCTGCAGAACCCGGTTTATCAAGGGGCAGTCCCCAGGGTCGGCGAATCCCAACAGCAATGGAGAACGCCACAGGACCCTGTGGAGAAGAGCGCCCACGTGAAGTCCAGGAGACGACAGTCACGGAGGGTGCTGCCAAAATCGTCTTTCCCAGCGCCAACGAGGTCTTTTATAACCCGGTGCAGGAATTCAATCGGGACCTGACGTGAGCAGGGGTCAGAGGTCAGCCTGGCAGCGGCGAGTGGGTCAATGTGGATGGCAGGGGCGGGGTATGAGTTGGTCCTCTGTCTCCCACCAGATGTGCTGTGATCACCGAGTTTGCTCGCATTCAGCTTGGGGCCAAAGGAATCCAGAGTGAGTTGGAGGTCCAGGCTCCTGATGGGTGGGGGTCACAAAAGGCTCTCTCCCTGCCTGGGCCCTTCTGTCCCCCAAATCCGGAGAGGCTTCATAGCAGGCCCAGGGTTCTACTCCTTCAGTCTTTCCTCAGGGACTTAAGGGAAGCTTTTTTGGGGAGGTTTCTCAGAGGGGACTTTTTTACCCTCTGACTTGTGCCTCTGGGTGGCTGCAGTCAAGGTACCAGGAGAGAAGGACACACAAAAGGTGATCGTGGACTTGTCAGACCAAGAGGAGAAGAAGGTTGAACTGAAAGAGAGTGAAAACCTGGCCTCGAGAGACCAACATCGCACAGCCGCCGTTGGGGAGATCTGTGAGGTAGGGCCTGACCATAGGATCTAGCAGCCCCGGAATTTAGTGGCAGACAGAGGGCTCCTGGATGGGGAGAGCTATAGAAGGTGGGTGGTAGGGGCTCCTTGGGTCAGAAGAGGATGGAGATGGAGATGTGAGGGAGGTTCCCTGCTTACTCCCAACAGGAAGGCTTGCATGTGCTGGAAGGCCTGGCGGCTTCCGGCCTACGTTCCATTCGATTTGCCTTAGAGGTGCCTGGGCTCAGATCTGTGGTTGCCAACGATGCCTCTGCCCCAGCTGTGGATCTCATATGCCAGAATGTGCAGCTCAATGGCGTGGCCCACCTGGTACAGCCCAGCCAAGCAGATGCCCGGTAGGTTCTGGGCTCTGGAACAAGCCTGCATGGGGTTAAATTCTGTCTCTGTCTTGTTCTCACTCTGTGACCTTGAGTGAGTGACTTAGCCTCTTTGAGCTCCAGTTTACTTGTCTGGCAACTGCGAAAACTAGTTTTACAGGGGTTGCTGTGATGAGTAAGTAATAGATAATTATTGTATGATCCATACTCTGTGACAGAAATAGGTAGCATTCTGGTCTCTGTTTTAGCTGCTGCTTTTATTTTTTTGAGATGGAGTCTTGCTCTGTTGCCCAGGCTGGAGTGCAGTGGCATGATCACAGCTCACTGCAACCTCCGCCTCCAGGGTTCAAGCTATTCTCCTGCCTCAGCCTCCCGAGTAGCTGGGATTACAGGCACCTGCCACCATCCCCAGCTAATGTTTTAACTTCTTATACTCCTTTTATTCGTTTAGATGAACCATAGTATATCCAGTGTCTCTATGTGCCAGGCACCATTTTCAGAGTGGGAATGCATCAGGAAACAGCCAAAATTGGTGACCTTTGCAAGAGTTGGCAAACTATAGCCTATGGGA